CAGGGGGAGCGAACCCCTTCGGGGCGGTAAGCGCTCGGCGGCGCGGGCGGCCAAGGGCTTTCCCCGGGTGTGGGAGCGCTGCGGTGGGCTCGGAGCCCGGACCCGCCGTGTTAGTCCGTGAAACATCCTCCTCTGCTCGCGCTTCGCTCTGAACGGGGCTTCTGCTGGGTTTTTCTTCGCGCTTTGAAGTATGCGTTAACTCCGATAGCAATTGTCTTGTCATGTTCGCTGCCTTTTTAATGTGCAAATTCAGCATGTGACTTGAATTCAGCTAACTAGTTGGCTCGAAGACTGATGATGACTGTAGATTTATTTGCCCCTAGGCTTGTAGGGCTGAACCAGTATCAAAAAGTTTTAAGTTCCCTCTCAAGCTTATCGGAAAAAGATCTGGAGGTCTCTGCCGACTTTAAAACCCTTTACGATTGGCAGCCTTGCTGGTACTTTCGGCCAAAATGCCATCTGAGCGTGGAAACCAAACTGCATTCTTGTATCTAAAGATGGTCCCTGCAGGTCAAAACTGAGGCATGTTGGCATGGCCAGGAAACTTCATGGGAGTGTGGTGGACTTTTTTTTTTTTTTTTTTTTTCCCCCGTAGAGACTCTAAATGTTGTAATAAGGTGGAGCAGTGCAGTCTCGTGCCACCAGGCCTGCCTGGGGTGCAGCTGCCCCCTCTCTGACTATGCTGTTGGTTTTGAGGAAGTTCTTAATCTCTCTGTGACTCAGTGTCCTAATCTTTAAAATGGTTTAATAAGACTTGTCAGGCTTGCCTCCCAGGGATATTAACATCTAATTGATGTTCGTGAAATGCCTTGATCTGGGAGAAAAGAGGGCATCTTGATTCCCTCATTTCGCCACTCTGTATTGGTTGCTAATTATACTACATGGGTGGAAAACAGATTATCGGACAACCAAACTGGAATTCCTGTCTGTTGTCAATTACACAAGCACTGTAAATAAGTGTATGTCCATTAACACTTACTTTGAATACCTGTGTATTTATCTAAATACAGTGGGTTTATCCTTTCTGGAGGATGCATCTGAAATACTGTACTGAAGCATGAGCAAACTGTTGCTTCTAACTCCAGGGATATTATAGAGTTTTTCCTCTGTATGATGAGATCAGTAAACATTTTAAGAATTAAAATTATGTTAACTCACTTAACACTCAGCACATCCTTGATCTTAGTTTTACTCAGACTGAATTCTATGTTCAGTCTCAGTTTTTGTAATGTCTCACTTTTTCAGAAACTGGAAAAACGTTCAGTTTTAAGTTCTCTGCTTGAAAATACAAGCTATCTTTAAAACACAAGTGCTGTATTTATCTTTGTAACCATTTTACTTGCTGCCCAAAGCAGTAATTAGCCACTTTACTCCCCTGACCTGAATCTTGCCCCACCTCCTCCTTATCGCTGTGGGGCAGAGAGCAGAGCCTGCGGAGCAGCCGCACGGGGCCCAGCGGTGTAGGCCGGGGACAGCAGTATTCCGTGGATCAGCTGCTGCAGTGGGCACACCTACTTACAGCATAGGCGTTTTGGTCTTTTTCAGCTGAAGTCTTGCGGTGAGAAATTCTCGGTGCTTCTCCTGCATCCTGGTTTCTCCATAGCACAAGGCTGGAGGCTGCTTTGACGGGGCTGGCGAGTCAGGTACCAGCGCATTTGACTCATGCACTTTATTCAGTTCTCTTTTTCGTGATTGTTGCTGCAAAATGTATGTTATTTCCCATTCAACAGACCTGTAAAGTTGATACATGACAAAAGAAGGCTTTAAAATGCTGCTTGACGTTAGTTAGTGCTGTTCTCTTCATAGTACTAGAAAAAGAGATTGGAGGTGCATCTTATACTGGGTGGTGGAGCATTGAAGTTCTGATGAGAAACTGAAGGATCCTGCATTTCAATTCCTCTTGCCTACAGCAAGTGACATAACTTTTTCTGCCCTGTCTGTAAAACTAGGTGAGTTCTTAGCAAACCAGTACATAGAAATGTATAGAAAAGTATACAGAAATGAGAAGTCATTTCTGTTTGAAAATCTGAATATTTTTTTTCTTAGTTGCCTTAATGTCACTCTAAAGGTGTATGCAGTACAATATCCCTGATATTAGGGGAGTGGTTGCACTGCTGGTTGTGAGGAGTTCAGATTTCCTTCAGTTTTGTCTAGAATCTAGAAGTAAATATGATCTGAAAAGATTTTTTTTCTAAAATATTTTGAAGCAGCATCTTCTTGCCTGGTGGCTGTGTCCCACTCCTAATGGAGATGAGCGTGTCTATTTTTTGGCTGGAGGTGTTCTTTAAGTGTAAGAAACCATAACACAAGAGAGGTGATAGCCCTTCGGTTTCTTTGTGAGTATGCTTTAAGTCTTTCACCTCTTTTAGTATGTACTTTGTATCTGCTCCAGCTCTCTCACTGCTCTGGTATTTTATAATTAGTATCTTGAAAACTCAAGGGAAAACTTTCAAATGCTATATATTTCCCATTGGGACTCTTCCATGTAGCTGTAACATTTGTTGTGAGTCCTTGGTAACGTGTATCTGTTCCTCAGGAGTCCTTCATCTCAATTTGATTCCCCTGGCGTCAGCAGAAAACCTCTGCTTTCTACTGGAATAGGATTTGCTTCTTAGGGACATGGTGTGTTTTGATTCCCTTAAAACAAAGACAATTCCAGATGACTGAAATGGAGGTCTGCCTCCCTGTACAGTCCTTCTGTTTTCTCAGCTTGCTCGCGTGTTGTGTGCGGGGCCAGCGAGCTCCAGAAAGGCTGAGGGGTTGCTCTGTACAGGCAGCCTGGCACGCCTGTATCCGTATAGTACATGAGTACACGTATCGTACACGTTTAGCATCTGCGTTTAGTATGTGAGCAAATTGTTTCTTTGCACCTTTTCTTTTCAAGCTCTTTCTGCGTGAGGTGACCATTGATTTGGAAAACGCAGGCTCTGCTCTGTGTCTGGCAGCCTGGCTGCCAAGGGATGGCACACTGTGTGCTTTGCTCATCACTGCAGGTTTCAGAGGTGTTTATGCTGCAGATTGACTCCTTCAGAAGCGGTATTAGTAGTTCGGGGTATTCCAGCACGGTACATTAGACTGTTTCCAGAAAATACAGACATTCTAATTTAAGGCTATTAAGTGTCCACTGATTCGGTGACTGTGCAGATACGTAGTTAATATTGTATTGTGACACATTCTAGAAATTGCTGGGTTTATTTTTGACATGGAGAAGATGACTAAGAATAACTCTTTCATCTATGCATAGTTACATTTACAAGCAAGTAAAAACATCCCCAAAATGATCTTTAGTCATGTTCAGACTCTTAGTTCCATGAAAGGGAAAAAATTCAGACTCGCTTGAAACTGAGCTGTGTGCTATCAAGCCTTCTTCCTGCTCTGGGTTCATAACCCCCATTCAGTGAGGGGTTATATCTCGGGAGGGGGAAGGGTTGCTTTGTTTTATTATCTCCTCCAAAATCTTGCTGGTAATTTACTGTGCAGGGAGGGGAGCAAGAGAAGCCCCATTCTGTGTTGGGAAAGGCAGGCCCTACCACAAGCCCAAATTATGATAGACACTACTGCTCTAGCTTATGTTTAGTTCAAGTTCTAATTATTTTTATTTTGGTGTCCCAGTAACACTGATGTAACTAGGAGGAAACTTGGGTTCATTTCTTGTTGCTATTTTCCTCCCTAGAGTTGTAATGGTAAAACCTGGCGAGGAGGGAGTAATTCTGAAGACAATCCATGAGTTCAGAGATCACCTGCCTGTCTGTTTCTGGACGCTTTGCTATGATTTGTTAACTGGTCTCTGAAAGCTTCCTATCTGGGGCCTGACTCCTTCAGGCAGATGGTTTATTGAATTGTGTGATGGGAGTATGTGGATTAGATTTAAACTTTTGTTCTCGTCACTGGCATCTTGTCTGCATTGGTCTGAACACATGCCAGCAGTTTCTGCACTTGCTGCATTCAGCCAAGTGGATATTACCAGTTCAGCTTTAGAATGACTACACCTGCCATTGTAAGAGTGTGTTGGGGAGTTTTGGCTTCCTAAAAAGCGGGTTATTTGGATCTGTTAGTCCACGATAAATCCTTCTCAGACTTTTTAAGCTTGCAGCTTATTGCCTGTGTAGGCTTCAGTAATGCCTAAGGGGGTGTTACAGTTCATCCGTCATCTTTCTGTGTAGCATCGAAACAGAGTTTCCAAAACCACGTGAAATTTTTGTTGAGAATATGTGGGGATGTTTTGTAATCAACTTTAAATGGTTTTATGCTAATTTGATTTCTTATCTTAACTCCTCTGCATATTTTATGGTTGGGGTTTTTTTATATAGTGTTACTTCTGAAAGACCAAGTGGTTCAGATAACATATTTTGCCATTTTCTTACCTGAATAGGCAACTCCAATAGCCAGTTAGAAAATTTTAAGTCTTCCAAGCTGGTTTTTGCTAGTCTGTCATATGCAAAATGCATATGATTGGAATCCAGCAAAAAATTAACAGTTTTGAAAAAAGGAGAGTAGGAGTTTTCCTCTCTCTTTGAGAAGATTTGGGTTTGGCAGATAGTGGAATTCTTTTTTGTATGTAATCAGATGAGAGTGTATCGCAGTGAGTATAATCTGTGTTATTGGCTGAGGTGAGTCCCATCTGTTAGTGGTGTTAGAGATGTGCAATGCCCTTGGCCTCTAAACTTATGCACACGGGGAGTAACACAGAGGGATTTAGAGAGACAAATGCAGTCTCTGAAGGCAGTTGCTAAAAGCAAGGGAGAAATTAATAATGCAACGCAGTGTTCTCTGCTGACACCCTTTCCAGCTGAAAAAACCCCTATGGTTAAACATTAGCCTTAAGGAACTTTGCAAGATGCTGGGCAGTTTTTGGTTTCTGCTTACTCTTGAGATCAGCTTCCTTTAGTAGAGGATCATCTATTGTATATGCTTGTTACCAGGCTGTTTCTTATGGATTTTCTTCATGCTCTGTCACCTTGTGCTGACCTGGGGAATAATTTTAAGTAGCAATTGGAGCTGATTAGGAGCAAATTCAGGGCTTGTGTTGCAAGGAGGTACTTGGGCTTGACTTCATGGTAGTGTGTACCCACTTCTGCCTTTTATTTATTAAAAACATTCTTGTCAGCATCATTTTGCCCCAGCTGTGGACCTGGTACAGTATGTACTTGTACACTTGAATCACCATTGCTTTTCTTCTGTTAGAGGCTGTAAAGGAGTGAGCATCCTGAGATGAGAACTTCCTTCTCCAGGTCTCATTTCCATCCTAGCTGGACTGAAGGAACTGTTGATGGAATGTGATATTTGGGTTTGGATAATTTATGTGAATGAGTTCTCTTTCAGATCCAAACTGCTTGCTGTCTGCTCAGTATTTGGTTTTCCCTGTTCACTGAGTGCTACTAATACCTGTGGTTGCCACCTAAGCATCCTTTATATCAGTTCAGAAAATTGTTTAATTAGTTCCATGGCTGTAGGGGACAGAAGAATATTGAAGTCTGGAGCCATTTTTCATATTTCCGAGTTTTGCTTCATAAGATGAATGCAGAGTGTAGGTTCTTCCCATTTCTATCTATGGATTTTTTTTAATTAACAGCTGGCACTTTTCCATACAGTATTTGTGTTCAGAACATAAATGTGGTTGAATATCAGAAATGTGCATGTGTTAAAGGCTTGGAAACAAGCTCCATAAATACGAACTATTGGTGCATATTCCAAACTGAATTCAATGGATGTAACCAAATGCCTCTTGCTGTAATTACTCTCTGAAACACTGCCCTTGCACCAAGTCAACGTTAGGTGTTCTAGCAAATGCATTAGGGAGAACAGGGCTTGTTTAAAGAACTAAATACATCCCAACAGTGAACATCTTAAGACAAAAGAAATCACCTTTCTGTTGTTCTGATGGGGGTGTATGGGAGAAGGAAGAAGGATGAGGGTGGTTGACTTTATTTCCTGGAAATGAATAGCATACATTTTTCAGCGCATAAAACGGATATTACTCAGTTTGACCTGCTTCCTAGTAAAAGTGTCTTGAAGCGGGGATTGGTTTAAATCTGTTGCCTGCATTCCTGACATAGAGCATTGTGTGATGCTATCTTGACGCAGAGGCCTGCAGTGTGCCATGATGTATAAATAACCCTCTGTATCAAAGGTAATTTGAGACGGCGTGCCAAATATTTAATGAAGCGCTGGGTACCTGGTATGTATTGGGGTGCAGGTATCTGAGCTGGGACTGCGGCCGAGGGGCGGTGAGTGAGGTAACACTCCCCAGCACGGGCTGCAGAGCTGCTCTGTAGGGTACAGCACGGCATAACCAGCGCTGCAGGTCAGCCACATCCTATTTGTAACTTTGATGCTTAGATAAGGGACAGAATAGCTTGATGTGCACTAGGCCGACCTGCTTTGTGCATGGCATCAGGAAAAAAATTGCCTTTAGTATTCTCTGCAGAGTAATTTTAATAAATACTTCGCGTATCAATTTTCAAGATAAATCTAGAACGGCGTACGGAGGGGAATGGCTTTATTCCTTTGGAAGCCCCCCTGGAGGTGGACTCAGTGTGGGAAAGGAGATTCACGAGGTCTTTATCTGACACTTGTCTCTGCAGAAATGCAAAGGGCAGGGTTATTTTTTCTCCATTTTTTCTTTTTTACCAAGGAAGGAGTT